ACAATAATTAAATGCTATAGTGTAAACAATGGCAGGTGACATGCACACACACACACACACGCACACACAAACACACAAACACTCAAAAGAATACAGAATATTGTAGAAACTGATCCATACATGTGATCAGTTATTTTTCCCTGTGTTACAAGGCAGGTTAGAGGAAGAACATAGTTGTGGTTTTTGGCATGAGACTTATCCACATTGGGTCATATGTTTGATACTTAGTCTCCAGTTTTTGAAACTTTCTGGGAAAATAAGAAAGTGTGGGATAGTTGTTTTAAATATGTCACTGAGAATGGGAATTGAGGTTTTATTTCCAATGTGACCTCTCAGTTGATTCTTCAGATCCCTGTCACTTACTAGCTCATCTCAATCATCATGCACTCTATCTCAAATTTCAAGGAACCCCCCCAAATTATATCATTATTACAATGTGCAATGTCACATAGTGTATCTTTCAGTTACAAGAGAGATAAGTGGGCATAGCAAGGCAAAATTGAAATACATGAAGACTGAAACTCAGAAAGGCCAACATTAACTCCAGCAAGATCCATTTCTTTCTTTTCATACTGATGGCATTGCCTTGTTTATAACAGGATTAAACGGCCCTACCCTGTAGTTTCATCCCCTTTGATCCATGTACTTTCTCTCTAATACCAGTTTTACTCTGCTTCTACATCTGAGGAGTCAGTGGTTGTTCCAGAGTCTGTGTCTCTTGTCGTTTTCAGCTTTCTCAGCTGAATCTGTTGAAAAAACACTCCTCTGATAGTGATTTGACTATGGACTTTGGACTCCCATCCAACAATGAGAGATGCATTCTCACCCTGCCCTGCATGAAATGACAGACTATGCACTATGCACACCCACATGGAGGGCCTCACCGTCCCTGGGGAAGTGAGGGGATATTGAGGAGGTTGGTGGGAGGGCACGGGAGGAGAGGAGGGAAACGGAGAGAGACCTGTAATTGACTTGTGAAGCAACCTTGTTTCTAATTTAAATTTAAAAATAAAAAATATAAAATAAAAAACCCTGAAGTCCCAAAGGAAGTGTAATTATACCATAAAGACATTTTCTTATTTATGCTCACAGCAGCATTATTCATAATAGCCAAAACCTGGAATTAACCTATATGTCCCTCACTTGAAGAATGGATAAGGGAAATGTGATAAATTTACACAATGGAGTAATACTACTCAGCTGTAAAAAAATGACGACCTGATGAAACTTGCAGGCAAATGAATGGAACTAGAAAAAAATCATTCTGAGTGCAGTAACTCAGACCCAGAAATGCAAACATGTTATGTACTTCACAGGTGATTATTAGGAGTAAAGGATAACCAACCTTCAATCCACAGCCTAAGAGAGGGATAGATGGATAACAAGGAGGGCCCAAAGAGGGATATAAAGATTTCCCTGAGAAGGAGAAATAGAAAAGATCTCCTGGGTATACTGGTGGTGGAGGTTGGGTGATGGAGGGATGGTAAACAGAGGGAGTAGGTTGGGCAGGCTGGGTACAGGAGGTGGATTAGAGGCAGGACGAAGGGGGAGAGTAACAAGAGACTTCTTTGTGGAGGACACTGTGGATTTAGGGAGAAGCCTGGTGCCAGGGAAGGCCCAAGGAAGCTAGAAGATACTGCTAGCAATGGTGGAGAGGGTGCCTAAACTCACCATCTACTGTAATCAGATTGGTGACTTCCTGGTGGGGGATGTTATTCCGTATATATGTTTTTTATTATTATTTTAATTTTAATTAGCTTGCTTCACATGTCAATCCTAATTCCCTATTACTCCCCTCCTCCCACACCCCATACCCCCAGCCTCCCACCCTATCTCCACTTCCTTCCACATAGGGGATATCTAGAGTCTGTCATTTCACTCAGAAAAGGGTCCACGTCACTCCCCTAAGAGTCCAGGCTGAGAGAGCATCCCTCTTTGTGTTATGGATACACGAAGTCCGTTTGTATGCCAGGGATAAATACTGATCCATTGGTCAGGGCCCCATAGGCTGCCCAGGCCTCCTCACTGACTCTCACACTCAGTGAGTCTGGATCAGTCCCATGCTGGCCTCATGGAACTGATCCGTATATATGTTTCTCTTATTGGTTGATGAATAAAACAGTGACTGGCTGGCCAGTAGCTAGTCCAGAAGCATAGGTGGGACTAGCAGACCAGGAAAAGACTAGAGAGAGGAAGACAGAGAGGTGACACCTGAGTCATGCCATGCCATGTAGAGGCAGAAGGAGTAACATGCTGGGGCATAACCAGGTAAGCCAAGAGCACATGCAAATATTTAGATTAATAGAAATGGACTAATAATTAAGAGACAGCTGGACAGTACAAAACCCTAGTCATCAGCCAAAGAGTTTATAAATTAATATAAGTCTTTGTGTATTTTTGGGGGGCTAATTGGCTGTGGAACCAAGCAGAACAGGAGCTTTCGTCTACAACTTCCCCCATTGCCATCAGAGATACTCTATCTAGTAACTGATGGAAGCAGAAGCAGCATACACAGAGAAGCACTGGACCAAACTTCAAGAGTCTTGCAAAAGTAAGGGAAGACTGATAGTTCCAGTCAGAGGTCCATGATGGGGGAACCCACAGAGACAGCAGATCTGACATCCTCAGAACTTATTGATGCTGCACGTACAGTCAGGGAGCCTGAATGGGCCAGAACTAGGCCTTCTGCATATGTGTGACAATCGTAGCTTGGTCTCTTCATTAGGCTTCTAACAGTGAGAACAGGAGCTCTCCCTGGCTCTTAGTTAGCTTTGGTAACCTGTTCAGCATGCTGGATTACCTGGCCCTGCCTGGACATAAGGTGAGGAGATTGTTCCTGCCTCAACTGATGTACCATGCTATGTTCAAGCCAATGGGAGATCTGTCCCTTTTTGAGTGGACATGTAGGAGTGGAGGGAGGGGCTATGGGTTGATATTTAAAATAAATGGAAAATGCTATTTAAATGAAATCAAATTACAAAAAAATGTGGAGTCTTACACAGATGGATTGTTTCCTTCAGAATGCCTTTCAAATTGTTTGAATGATAAGTGAAAGAGTCTCCTTATTCTCTTTAACAATTACAGTTGCATGGGCTTACTTAAACTTTTACACTTGCCCAATTAAGTTCCCATCAGAACATCCATGATGAGAAATCATATAAAGTACCAATATGTTAGTCATGCCCTTCATACAATACTAAGTCATGGAAGTAAGACATTGGAATAGATGTCATAACACACTAGGATTACATGACTCTGTCTCCAGTCAATACACGTCTGCAATGCAATCAGTGGTTAGGAGGTGAAAAACTACCATAATGAGTATTCTCCCAAATTTCTAACTCAGAAATATATGATATATAGATGTTGCATGTAGTAACATTTGCTCAGAAGTGAAAGGATGTGATAAGTTGATTGGTGAGAAAGTACAGAGGATAGCCTTAGTACATTGTGTTCACTGTTACTGAAAACTGCTGGGATGGCAGATAGAAGACAGAAGAAGATAAATAAACAGAGTTTACATAGCACTACACATGAGAGCTTGAAACCTAAGGGACGTATTTGAGAATTGATGATTAATTTGAGGCAGACAAACAGGTAACAACATGTCCTCCAGTGGCGTCAGAGACCAGAGACATCTACTTGGTCTCCTCTGGCAGCACAGACCACAGACATCAACATAAACCCCTGTGGCAGGGTGGATCATGGACATAACCATGGCCTCCATCAGCAGCAGAGACCAGAGACACCAATCTAGTCCTCTGCAGCAGCAAAGACCATAGAAGTCAACATAGCCTCAGGTAGCAGCCCAATGGGTGAACATATGTCCTTTAACAGTTGTTCAATCATGAACATCAACATTGACATGAATATGGCCTCTGGTGACCAAACAGACTATGGACGTCAACAAGACCTTTGGTGACCACAGAGACCACAAACATCAGCTCTGGCAGTAGCATACATCACTGATGTCAACATGGCTCCTGGTAGTAACACTAACTACGGACATCAACATGGCCCCTGGCAGCTTCACAGACCATGGACATCATTATGGCCTCCAGTGGCAGCATGGACCACCAACATCAACATGGCTTATGCTGGTAGCACTGACATGGGCTCTGGCAGTAAAATGGACCATGGACATCAACATGGCGAAGTTGGCTTTTCGGCTTACAAACACTAACACAGATTCAGGGGCCAGCACAGACCATAAACATCAACTTTGATGCTGGAGGGAACACAGACTATTGTACTAACATCAACAGGGCCCCTGTTGGAAGCATGGAGCACAGACCACACTGCCTCTGATAACAGCATGGTTCACGGGCATCAATACAACCAGCAGTGGCTGAGTTACTTTTTTACAAATAAGAACAACTGTATACCTCAACTATGAAGAACACAGGGGAGTGTAAAGTTTGTAATTTATTATGGGATGATGGTTTTAGGTATGGAACATTAACATGGCATCAGAATACAGACATAGCATGATTTTTCAGCAGTGTTTGCGTTGTAGATATCCTGAGGTTGAAGTTTTGCAATATTCAATTAAAATAACATTAAATTTTAGGACTTCCACTTTCTCTCTCATATCTTTGGGAAGCCAGTTAAGACTTATGAATGATGATTCTAGTAACAAACAAACAAAAAAATGTTGTTATTGATGTTATCAAAACAAAAATTTACAGACTCAAAAGATTTAAAAGATTTTAAAGGGACCTATATACAAGATTGGGGCTAGTATCACTTGTAAATAATATCAATGCATGTAGAGATACGATGGAATGTTTAAAGCCTTGCAGAAATGATGTAGTTGACAGAAAAGGAAAGAGATTAGCAATACATAATCTGTGGGCATACAGCTACAGATCAGGAGTTATAAACATGACATATATTACTGGTATTAGCAGGATTTGTTGATCATCTAAGAAATCACTGAAAAAGTAAGATTATTCTAACCAAACAGAAATGTGAAACATTGTCTTTAAATTTTCAACTAGATATTCAATTGACAGAAATACAGATTTGGAGAGATATTTCAATATCGACGCTAACAGTGGAGTTATCACTACTGCCAAATCATTGGATCGAGAGACAAATGCTGTTCATAACATTACAGTCCTTGCAATGGAAAGCCGTAAGTTGAATGGCTAAAAATGATACTAGGATGAAGCAACATGAAAATAGAGAATGGGGATTTATGAGATGAGATCATTATAATCTGTAATACTTGTTTGACTAAGACAAAACCCAACAAGTACCACATGTAAAATACTTATACATTAACTGGTGTCATGTGTTGATATTTACATAGTTAAATCAAAATATAAATTTGTAAAGATTGACAGTTGTGAATTACCTTCCTAAGCCTGTTTTCTTTTATATTCTAGATATTGCCTTTATCCTAATAGAAAGTTATTTTATCTCTACCAACACACATAGGTATTGATATTGTCGGACTGAACTAATTTTGTATATGAAGGAAATAATTTAAGAGACACTAAAATTATCTCTATATTACTAAAATATGTAGTATGTTATGAAATACATAGAAAATACATGTAGCCGGGCGTTGGTGGCACACACCTTTAATCCCAGCACTTGGGAGGCAGAGGCAGGCAGATCTCTGTAAGTTCGAGACCAGCCTGGACTACCAAGCAAGTTCCAGGACAACCTCCAAAGCCACAGAGAAACCCTGTCTCGAAAAACCAAAAAAAAAAAAAAAAAAAAAAAAAAAGAAAATACATGTAAGTACAATATGTGAGTACTTAGATAAGTTTGAGCTATGGCATCATTGAGTTGAATTTCATGGTTCACTATTCCTCATTCACCATTTTTCTTGTTATGGGCTAGACACACATGCACACATATATACATGCATGCATATACATATTTATATCAAATACATAAATGTAGATACCTCACAATTGTGCATTATATACAAACACATATAAATGTATGCTTGAATATATACATATCTAAATTAATGAATCTATATGGGTCAGATTATATGTGGTTCTTTTTAGAAAGTATAGTATTGTAAATATGGTTTTCATTTGACTTTATACTTTAGAAAATGAAGGTTTTCAATTTTTGATTTTAATGTTTCTTGAATAAAATAGCAAGAGTGTGATGAGTATTCTTTCAGAGTTAATTAGAGAACATGTTCTTATCTACTAGAGAATCCATCTCAGGTTGGGAGAGGCTATGTGGCCATCACTATCCTGGACATTAATGACAATGCACCTGAGTTTGCCATGGACTATGAAACCACTGTCTGTGAAAATGCTCAGCCTGGGCAGGTGAGAACTTTGAATCACTTCCTCTTTGACTGGAGTTTCTTTAAAAGCATCCAGCAGTGGCGTTTTTGAAACCTCCCCATTTTAAGATAACTCACCATCTGCCTTTTTTCAGTAAAACTAACACTTTGATGTGTAACACAAACTAATATTAAAAGACCTTTCAAATTCTGGTTTAATTGGCTGGTGAAAATTCCTCAGGAAGAGAAGATAAGCAATGTAATAAAATCCCTGTTACATGTTTAAAGACTTGGATTCCTTAAAGAAGAAATTAAACATATTAAGCTTAACTGAGCTATTTCATACATTACACTACACAGCATATATTAAATATCTTGAATTCTAAGAATTAAGTGCAGTACAAAGTAACTTTGGCTTGTCCATCCATATTGCTCAGAGTTGTGTGCTGTTTAATGGGATGACTAATCAACTGTTACAAATTGTTTCAGAGGTTCAAATATCTAAGTTCAAACAGGCACTTCAAGAAGGACATAGTTTGTTTTCTGGAGCCTGTTTTAGATTGAGTTCAAGTTTGTACACCTGATCCATTCCCCACACTAATTAGGGAGAATAACATTTATGATGAGATATAAAATCATTATGTTCTGTTGTAGGGATCTCAGCAGAGAGCATCAGTATGACTTTTTCTTTTATATTCTATCTACCTAGGTTATCCAGAAAATCAGTGCTGTTGATAAAGATGAGCCATCTAATGGACACCAGTTTTACTTCAGCTTAACAACAGAAACAACAAATAACCACAACTTTTCACTGAAAGATAACAAAGGTAAGGCAAGGACATTAATTTAAAAGGCAATGAATTCTTTGAGTAATTTTTATCCATGAATTTGCTATCATGGAGGAGAAACTGCTATTTAAATTATTTTAGGGCATAATGCCAAATGTGAAAAGTTAAGTATATTTCTCTTTTCTGTCTCCTGGATATTTGCCTCCCATTTACATGTCATTCTCTTTATTTAAATGATATTATATATTAAAAGTCTGCTAAGATCCTTAGTAAGGATGGTGGTATGTCAGCACTACTTGAGTCCTCAGAAAATAATTGGATTATATACATTTCAACTGAAATCAACATTGACACAATATTCTCAATAATAATAGATTATTTTTACATGAAGATAAATGTAAAATATAATAATAAATATCATTCAACAGTAAGATAAAACAGTAGATAATAAAAAATACTCTCTCATTTCATTTAATTTTATTGCTTTAAAGTTAGCTACTCTTACCAAGTCATAAGTATAATTGTAGGACTCTCTGTAAGTAACTCTAAGCAAGTTTCTGATTTCCTTAATACACATTAATAAGCATAAGACCTTCCAAAGGAAACATTAGAATTTACTCTTACATATTATACAGATTTTCATGTGAATCAGGTTTCAGTTTTGAAACAAAGAGTCTTACCAGAACAGACATGCTTTCAGATGAAATTTACAGTCTTTTGCCTAAGGCCACAACTTTATAGCAAAAACTGTGATCTTCATGAGGAAAATTCAATCTGAAAGTAATAATCTTTTTTCTGATTCCATTCTCTACCTAATGTGAACAGTGTTCTCCCTTTAGTGATATAAGGGAAGAGCATTCTCTGAGTGAGTAATCCCAAACTCTCTGACGAAATCATTGTTGGAAAGGTTCATTCTAAGTTCTTGGAGTCATCTAGCACAGATATAGACAGGGGAATATATGCCCTTCACAAGAAGATGATGAATATATCCCTCCTGTTCAACGGTCCAATATCATCAATATTTCTGTACAACATGTCCAAGAAAATGTCTGGATTTATGAGGCATTCATACTGCCACACAGCTGGAAATGTCGCTATGCCACCACATACAGCAGGCCCAGAGATTAACAGGCTATACATTGAAGGATATCAAAAGAATGGGTAGAAATCATTCATGCTGACTTCCACATTAGAAGAGCAAATGCAGAGTATCATATATTCTACAACTCTTTCTTGATCGTAGAATTCTTTTTTCACATGTTGAGCATTTGGTCTTTGCTTTTCCAATTCAGTGTGTATGCTATATTGTGTGTATGTACTTCTGTTCTATATGTGAATGATTTTTTATCAGTCATCTTAGACTAACAGTAAATAATTGTAAGAATCTGTTCTTTATATTCATAATGATGGTTAATATCAACATGGGTGCACATTAAGCCATCAGCCTGTGTATTATTAAGTGTACAGAATCATAAAGGATATCTGTAAACAATTCAATGTTTAATTTATTAACCAGCTAATGCATTTTATAAATTCTTATTGTATGATTAAATACTTTAAAATATTAGTATTTGGTAAACATTTCAAAATCTACATATGTGAAAATATACTAATTTAAAAATGATACTAATTCTTTACTTTGTCTAATCTAAAATTACTGTTAGCTCTTTTGCTATAGTTGAAAATTTATTGCTCTATAATGCTTACCATGGAAATGATGTCAGCTTAGTTTATCTTTAAATATTATTAATTTTTTCATGTCAATATTGGATAAGCAAGTATTAAACTATTTAGGATTTTCATACTGTATAACAATATGATCCTGATTAATTTCCTTTTGTTTCTCTTGCTTAATTTTAATTCTAAGAATTTCATGAATTCTAATTAGTTAATTAAGAGAAACCACAGAGAAATACCCTCAAATTAAATTTATTTCTGTAATATAAATTGAGTTACATAAACACATTAATCACCTTTCCATTGTTAAAGTTACTTTAACTTTCTTAGATGAGATAGAATATTGAATACTAATTAAACTATGCTATTAATAAAATATTTTAAAGTATATTGATTGAGAGAATGTGAATAATAATATGATTTGTAAAATTTACTCAATAATTTCCATTGTGAATATCTCTGTTAACAACATGCTGCTTATTGAATTTTTCAGTTATTGATGGACCATTATAATGGTAGTCCCATAGGATTACATTAACTAATGAAATCAAAACATCTTATTTTCTGCCAATAAGCCATGTGAACTTAGGAGTTGGCCTGGCTCATTTCTCAGAGCATATTCCCTATATCAGTGATAGTTGATTGCATAATCAATTTAACTAAAACTATACTATTTTATTTTTTCTTTATTTATCTGGAAAACTGTCATAAAGGGAGTAGATTTCAAATGATACTAAAAGAGGAACATATACCAACTGATAACTTTTACCCTTATTCCTCTAAGGATATATAAATATTTATAAAAATTCCATTTAATAAAATATTTTTTAATTTTTTATTATTTTAACTTTTTACACATATTACTCTCAGTTCCCTTTCCCTAGCCTCCTTCCCCGGCCCCACATTCCTCCCAGCTCCCCATCCCACTCCATCTTGTTTCTGCTCCCCATGGAGGGTAAGACCTTCCATGAATTATTTTCAGAGTCTGTCACCAGGAAAACATTGCAAAGAATCAATGAAACAAAGAGTTGGTTCTTTTACAAAATCAACAAGATAGACAAAACTTTATCCAAAATAACCAAAAGGTAGAGAGAAAGAGAGCATGTTAATTAACAAAATCAGAAATGAAAAGGGGAACATAACAACAGACATTGAGGAAATCCAGAGAATCATTAGGGCATACATTGAAAACCCGTACTCCACAAAATTCGAAAACTTATAGGAAATGGACTATTTTCTACATGGATATCACCTGCCAAAATTAAATCAAGAACAGATAAGCAATCTTAGCAGACCTATATACCCTAATGAAATAGAAGCAGTCATCAAAAGTCTTCCAACCAAAAAGAGCCCAGGCCCAGATGGCTTCAGTGGAGAATTCTGGCAGAAATTCAAAGAAGAGTTAGTTCCAATACTCCTCAAAGTGTTCCACATAATAAAATATTTAATTTTACATTATCATTATTTTTTTGCTATCTATAGAAGAATAAAACACCTTTAAATTAATTCCATAGGAAGTATGCCTCTCTGTTCAAGGAGATTTACCAAGGGATGTTGAAAAAAAAAGTATATGACACATCAGTTCTACAATTAAGGAGCAACATGAAAAGAATGACTCTAATTTTGAAAAGATAAAGTGTATCAGAAGGCTTGTTATACATTTTGTTCTTCTTCTTAGACAACACAGCCTCAGTACTCACCAGGAGAAATGGCTTCCGAAGACAGGAGCAATCAATTTACTACCTGCCAATTTTCATTGTGGACAGTGGATCCCCTTCACTAAGCAGCACCAACACACTTACCATCCGCGTCTGTGACTGTGATGCTGATGGTGTAGCACAGACCTGCAATGCAGAGGCCTACGTTCTACCCGCTGGTCTCAGCACTGGGGCCCTGATAGCAATACTGGCCTGTGTCTTGACACTATTGGGTAGGTACTGGTTTTTGTTCTTGCTTTATAGGAGCAGTTTGCAAAGCAAACTTACACCACAAGTTTTCTTAATTCGTTTTCATTTCCTTTGAGTATCTTTTTAAGGATATGTAAATAATTTACCAGATGGTATTAATGGTAACACTCACTATTTGTCTATTCTGTCTAGCTGTGTGGTTTAAAGTACAAATCATAATAAAAACGTGAACTTCATTTTGAAAATAGAGCACAGGAAAAATTATCTGAACTTCTATGATTGCTGTTCTATAATTGAGTTTTAAATTTAAATTTATTCTCATGTTTGAAAAGTATGTGCATAAGCACTGTATTAAACTAAGAGTATTTTTTCACGTTGTTTTGATAGTATGCTTGTTTGAGAACTTACGGCATCAAGGAAAACATTTTCAAGAACTATGTTCAGTTAGTTTCTTAAATTATTTTTATTTTTAAGAGACTGAAGATGTGGCAACACAAACATTACAATTTCTTGAGAATTATTGTCATATTTAATTCTACTTTTCTAAAACTAACATATTATCTGACTGAACTACATTTACTTACACCTGCATAGGAGATTATGCAGCATCCTTTTTAATATTGAAAACTATCCAACATGGCCGTGGATAACCAATGAGTTTATTTAAAGGCAATGTTCTCATTCACAGTTTAAGTTTCTACAAGGATGACAAGCACTTGACTTTAGATTTGTGGCTATTTCATGTGTTTTCTTTTGTTTAATGGAGTAGTAAATCCATTTACAACATGTTTTTATAAAATCAGCAATGAGCTTGGAGATGAACATGACCTGAAGTTTGAGATAGATTTGGTAAAGTATGTACCTGTGTCCTACTCTTTATCTGTGTTACTCATTACTTATTTGTAATGTGAGTGCTAGCTTCTTTGTAGAGTAGCTTCATAATCTCAATGGTGAACTCATGTGACTAGTCTTGTAAAGATGTGAAATTTAAAGGTGACAATTCATGCACAAAACTGCTTGTTTACTATATAGTGAGCATACATGTGTCTTTAAGTGTCATTAATAGAAGAACAGTCCTCACTGTATTTATCAAGCAAAGGCTAGCTGCTAAAATAAATAGTATCTTAAAATAGAAGTTATTGTCTTCAATCTAGAAGAAACTAATTGCACTACTCTTTCTCAAGATCTGTAGGCAGTTGTCATGAAACTTCCAGAAATTCATTAGAGCTGACCAAATGACCAATAATTCACAGTTAAAAAGTGGTTAGAATACAAAGACTAAGAGTAAGTATGAAAAAATTGGAGGTACTCTGAATAAATGTGCGTTGATCTACTTGGCTTCTAAAAGATAATAATAAACACAAAAATACAATATTTACTTTTACTTTATAAGACCACCATAACAACCTAAGATATAAAATCAGCAATACATTTTAATACACAATGTCTTCACTGTGAAACAACCAAATCAGGGGAAGAGAAGTAGACAGTGTGTGTGGAACACTTTAATCTTTTGCAATTTATCTCCCTCCCTCCGTCCCCACCCTCTCTCTCTGTCTCTCTCTTCCTCTCTCTCTCTCTCTCTCTCTCTCTCTCTCTCTCTCTCTCTCTCTCTCTCTCTCTCTCTCTCTCATACACACACACACACACACACACGAGGAAGGGGGCAGAAATAATCCATTATAATGTGCTTCTACGAACAAGTTATGACTGACTGTACTCTCTCAAGTTTGATTATCACTTAGAGTTGTTTAACTTTTGGCTTTTAAAACTGCCTTTTTTGACTCCCCAGGGGAGGCCTCACCCTCTTTGAGAAGTAAATGAGGGGTGAGGTAGAGGGAACATGGGGAAAGTGGAAAGGGGCAGAGAGGGAACTGGAATTGCTATGTAAGATAAGAAAAGATAGTTTTGCTTTTAAATTTAAAAAAACTGTCTGATGAAGCTTGTTTCACTTCTAATATATGTCCTCTGTAACACTTAGCTGAATTTCAATCAAGGTTCCTTGATTCTTCTAAAGTTTATAATGACTAAACTATTAATTAAAGTAAAACTTGCAACCCACTCCTTTAATCCCAGTACTGGTGAGTCAGAGTCAGAGTCAGAGAGTCAGAGTCAGAGTTAGGTAGATCTCTGAGTTTGAGAAAAGCCTGGTCTACAGAACAAGTTCCAGGATACCCAGGACTACACAGAGACCCATTTCCCAAGAGACAGACAGAGAGAGAGAAAGAGAGAGAGAGAGAGAGAGAGAGAGAGAAAGAGAGATGGGGTGAGATGAGGGAGGGAGGAAGGGAGAGGGAGACAGGGAGGGAGAGAAACAAGATTTATTAGCATCTAATTTGATTCTCTGTGTGTGTTTGTGTGTGTGTGTGTGTGGTGAATTTGTGGTATGTGTATGTATATGCCTGTGTGTGAAATGATGTCTTAGTGTGTGTGATATGACTACCTGTGTGTTGTATGGTTTTGTGTATGATAGGAGCATTGTGGTGTGTGTGTGTGTGTGTGTGTGTGTGTGTGTGTGTGTGTGTGTGTGTGTGTGTGTGTGTGTGTGTGTAAGGCGGGGTGTCTGTAGTGTGGTGCGTGTCTATGTGTGCATGTATATGTGTTTATGAAAGTGTGTTGTTTGTCTATGTATGTGTTATGGCTGTGTATATGTGGTGTATATCCCCACATTCCTCCACCCCTCACCACCCACCCTAGTGCTTGAACTGGCGCTTCAGAGCCCATTCTTTTCAGGATATCTTGTTCAGCCTAGATAAAGGGGGGGGGTTGATGATGATCCTTCCTCAAAGATATGTGCCAGACTTCATTGACTACCCAGGACATGGCCAATTTTAAAGCCAATGAAATTTACTTTTTCACAGGTATGAAGGTGGAGTACATATCTTGGAAAATGTCTGATTCAAATATAAAAATGGCTCATTTTATAGCATATCAAAAAGTAATGCAAATCTAGGCTCTAGATGTGAGAAGTCCAAATTTTCTGCACCTTCTGAACTTATGAACAAATGTTTTATATAAAAATGAATGAAAGGAATTGCCCCTGTTGATGAAGAACTTGAAACTGATGTTCATTTAAGGAGGAAATTATAGAAGCCTCCGGGCTAGAAATTCTAATAAAGGAAAATACTTTCTTAGGAGTCAACATTCTGTTTCTGTGTTGTAACAGATTGAAGTTACTTGAAAAAAATGATACACTGAATTGCTAGAATGTTAATACTGGACAGCATCACAGAAAACAATCTTCACCTTGAGTCTATGCTAGGACAAGAAGCAAGGATTCCTTGTTCTCAGTTATGACTTTTTTGTTTAAGATTTTTAAAATTAAAAATCGATTTATTTCTCTTATAATATATACCTATTACAATTTCTGCTCTTGTTACTCCTCTCAGTTTCTCTCTACCTCTCCTCTTTTCTGGATCAACTTCTTCCCTGTCTCTCATTAGAAAAGAAGAGGTTTCACTAGAGTATCCAGCCTCTGGTTCCTGGCCCTATGGGGCAAGCTCCCTCTCATGGTATGAGTATCCAGCTGGACCAGTCAATAGTTGGTCACTCCCACAATTCCTGCATCATCTTTAACCAGCTCTTCTTAGAGGCAGGACAAATTGTAGATTGACAGGTCTGTGGCTGGTTTGATGCTCCTGTTCCTCCACTATTGCCTGGTTACAGGAAATAGACATTTCAGGCTCCATATCCATTATTGCTAGGGGTCTTAGCTAGAATTACCCTCATATATTCCTGGGACTTTCCATTACAATAGGTTTCTAGCTCATCCCAGAGATGCTCCCAGATTACAGAGAGTGTCTCCATGAGATTTTCCTGGGCCCTCTGCATATATGGTAGAGTTGTGTAGCTTGGTCTTTTTGTGGGACTCCTAAGAGTGGGAGCAGGTACTGTGGTAGAGCAGTCAGTATGCTGAATCTTTAAGCCATATCTCAAGACTACCATTACTGCTTCTTGATTGAATAGGAAGGACAGGAAGCTTGTCACATACCTGCCAACTTTTCTTCCTTTAGCATCAATTTCATGACATGGAAAGTTGGATATGTCAACCTCCTTCTCCTCCATCTGTATTTTTCTAATCTCTTGAATGATTTTTTATTTTTCCCAATTGCCCTTGCCTCTCTTTGAAACACATTTATACCTCAATGAAACCAATAACCCAAAACTCAGAGTATGAGGCTTCTATTATAAAGAATGAATACATCTTGAATGAAGTCAGAAGCTTCACCTTCAGATTTCATCATATGGAGGTCAAACAGTCACCTTAAACATTTTGCATTCTACTCCATATATGTCAATCAATTTGGTATTGTAAAAATTAATAAAAAGTATGCCTCATAACTAACAACAATACCAAATTGATCTGATGTATTATCATAGTCAAATTCATATGTTCTCAAATCCAGATATTTTTCAATTAGATTGAAAACACTTTAAGGAAAGAAAAATATGTACAACTGACACATTCAGTCATTACTGTAGTGGATATGTCAGAAATTCAGAGGAAGAATTTTACCTGCTTTGGTTTAAAGTAGCTCTAATCATTAACAGTTGTACAAGTATTTTGAGACTGTTACAGCTGGATTATGTTATTCTATCCAAGGATGTCTGTTTCTTCTCACTGAAGCTTCTGCAGCATGTACTGTATTATGTTCTACTCATTTCCCAACTTTGATCATTGTTGAGAGAAGCCTTTTTCTTGTCTGTCACTTTGGTTTTTCCCGCCAGTTGCCTGGGCTCTGCTGCGTTGTAGTCCCCAAATAACACACAAGATGCTGAATTAATTATGAAGCTGTTGGCCTTGCTTGTTTCTTACTGGCTAGCTCTGGCTTAAGTATTTACCCCATAATTGTTAATCTAAGTATTTCTCTTACCAGAGAAAACTTCTGGACATCTTACTTCTCTGGCGGGCTATATCGTGACTCCCTGTGTTTCTCCTACCCTGAGTCCTCCTGGACTCCTAGTCCCACCTATCTTGCTTCTCTATTGGCCAACAGTGCTTTATTGACATATACACAGGACT